CTTAGATCGAGTTCGGAGTGGAGTGGATTGATAAAATTTCTGTCAGAAATATTGAATATAGAGTATAATGTATTAAGCCCCACATGACGGCTCGGCCGTTTTAATTATTTTGAAGATTTTAGCCATATTTTCAAGATTATTAAACTATAAATTATCGTTTCAATTTCTCGGAAGGGAGAAACCTTCGTTGTTTACTTTGTCCTATTCGTTCTAAGTGTATATCGCGGCAATGTACGTTAAAATTTGGTTCCGAGCGAACTTGGTTTTAAATATGTAATTTGAAAAGCATTTTATTATGTATTCACAAAGATACCCACTTTAATGAAAGTTATCAATCTAACTTAATAATCCCAAATTCCATTAAAATTTTCCGAAAAATTCCATTTTTGCGAATGTGCATCACTACCCGGTTTTATTGCCTTAAAACCAACAATGATTGAGTTTATTGATTGTCTTTGATTTTTCTTTAAAATCGTTTGTTCATTTAAATCGGACCGATGGAGATGGTGGTCTGTCATTGACATTTCCACCTCATCCTCATTATTCTCTGTCCGTGTCTATCGGCATCCTTGTTTTCTTAATGTAAAATGGAATGCCAAATAAGAAAATAAATTTGCGCATACATACATGTTTATGCCTTATTGACATTTATCACAGATTCCGATTTGTTTTCCTTTGAATAACTGTAATCTATTTTACTTGGCGTTTCTTTGGCAGAGGCCTAAAATAACTTGAAGTTTCCCAAAAGCACTTGAAAGAAATTTCTTTCAATTTTATTCTAAATTCTTGTAAAAAAAGCTGCAGAATTTTTTGAAACGTTTTTATTTCGCGAACATTTATTGTGAACTGATATTGAATGAAATTCAAAATTTAATAACAGTGCTAATTGAACGCATTTCGTGTTTGCCATGTGATTTTCCACAATATAATAATAACGATAATTACTGAACATTTGTAGTGATCGCATCTGACATACATAATTATAAATGTAAACACATTAAAGTTGAACAGAACATGGAGACATTTTAATTTCGATGCTCTATTTGTGGGTGATATTTATATGAAGATAAAGTTTCTTTTTTTTAATAAAATTTTAAGTACAGTGATTTCCTAGAAGTTTAAATTAATACAAAAATTGTGTACGATACTGCTCAACATTTAGTTTACGTATTCATTCTTTCCATTTTTATAAAAAATAGAATTTCCTGGGATATTTCCTATAAATAATATTCAGTAATCAAGTAATTCCAATACTATTTTTTAAATTTTTTTCCTTAAACGAAAATTTAGTGAAGAACGTGTTGACCCAGGTTATCCAAAGTTGCAGTTTGTAATGTGTATTCCCCAACTCAATCATCGAGATCTCTCCTACGACAAGAAATGCAACTGGCAATAGCACCCTAGCCGACACTTCGTCGCCATCATCCTCTTAACTTGATGTTAGGATAGTGGATAGATGTGACAGCATCTTCTATATTCGGAACGTGATTCAACTTTTAACTAACCAACTTTTGATAAAAAATATAAAGTCGAACTCTGTACTCGAATTTCGGCTTTGAGATCATCGAACCGTGTCACTAGATTTGATTTTATATTCATTTGATTATATTCGTGGATATTATTAGTTTTGAGAAATCCAGAAGTAGATTCTATCATATAAACAAAATTCCCGTTTTTTAACCCTAATCTAGTAGCCCTTTCTTTGTAGACAAAAGCTACACCTAATTCATTGAATCAGGCAAATAATTGATTTTCGATTTTTATACCCTACACCACATGGCGGTAAGGGTATTATATTTTTGTGCATTTGTTTGTAACATGGAGAAGGCAGCGAGATAGACCCATCGTTACTTTTGAGGAACTTCATAGAATCACTTTCTGAGTCGATAAATGCATCTCAGTCCGTCCATCCGTCTGTCCATGTATTTTTATGAACAAAATGCAGGTCGCATTTATTATCCGATTGAGATGAAATTTTGCTAACAATATTTGTTTGGCCCAAGGACAAACCCTATTGGTAAACATAGGTTCAAATTTAGATATAGCCGATTTTAGCCAATATCAGTCAATATCCAATTACCTGAGTTTCGGCAAATCCGACTGAACTCAGTCTAGCAGCAAGTACAGCAAATTTGTTGTAAATCGGTTTAGATATAGCTATAGCTCCCATACATATGTTTCAGCCGATTCGCGGTTTTAAGTCCCTCACATGCGCAATATGCGATCTACAGGAATGATATTTGGCACCGGTCATCAGATACTGCTCGAAAATACGTATGCCAATTTTTAGGTTCAGATAAGGTTATAGCTCCCATATATATCTTTATCCGATATTAGATTTATTGTGCAAATGACCAATACCTGTCCAAATGGACTAAATTTTGGCACTCCCGATCGAATTCAGTTCAGAAGCAAGAACATTAAGATCGGTTCAGATATAGCTATAGCTCCCACATACATGTTTCATTCGATTTGGGGTTTAAAGTCCCTTCCACGTTTTCGTATATCCCCAAAATGTCGGTAGCTCCCGATATTCGGTATTTGGAGGGTTTTAATCACATGTGGGAGCTCCCGCGAGTTACTCCTGTGTGGCAAATTAGAGTATGTGTTGGAATGTTCGAAATATACAGTAATTTTCTACTGTAAAAATGAAGACGAGTGGAATAGAGTATAATCGAATGTTTTACCACCCACGAAAATTCTCACGCTCCTATTCGAGCAGAGAGTTAAACTCGCTCGCAATATGTAAAAATCTCTAGATCTCTTTTACTTATTATATTTTACAATTCTGATTCTTACTGGGTGAAAATTCGCCATAATATCGCTCTGCGATTTGACATAGGCCCCACATAGGGGTAGAAGCCGATTTTAAAGTTTTTCTTCATTTTGAGCCAAAATGGCTATAATTTAATATTGTGGAGACTTAGTGTGCAGAAAGATTCAGCGCAAAATTTGTCAGTGTAGGTCGAGATTTTGGAACGGCTCCCAATTGTTGTTAATTTAAGAAAACAAATTTCGCAATTATTGAAATGAAATTGATGTTTCTAATAGAGGATTTTTTTTCGCAAAACTCCATGCGTCCGGCACTCCTAAAATATGAAATATTATTGCGTATTTCAAAGTAACAAATGACGATGTACTTTGTTTCGTATACCGTACCCCTTTTTTTATTGCTGTCATTATCATGTCCAACCTCCGCTCCCACCGTTGCCTACTATTATTCAATTCAATGCTCTGCTCTTTATAGTTTACCCCTATAAAATAGCAAGCGAACGAACCTCAAGCAGCAGTCATATGGATTTGTCATTCATAGAATACTTCCAGTATTGCATCACAATCCATCCAGATGATTTGTTTATATTTTCTATTAGCATTGCTCTCAATACACAGCAGGAACCTGCTCTGGTGATGGCAAATAGCGATGAAGATGATGCATTGCTAGATTCTGCAGCAACAGTGTCTATGGGAATTAAGCTCTTTTTATTCCGATTGCTTTTTAAATTGTGGAGCTTTTCTGGAGAGCGCAGGTCTGATGAGAGGAATAAACAACCCCGAAACGTATATTACGTGTTGTGCTCCCCAGAAATTTATAGTAAAATCAATGGCTGGTGGGCCAAATGGCTATCAAAATTGATGGAAGGTTTTTTTTTTCGTTTTTTTCCTCCTTTGCGAATGCCAGAGGAAAATGAAATGTCAAAAGGGAACTATGAAATATGAGTGTGGGGATTGTTGTGTTTCTTCTCTTCTGGGGGTTGCTTTGCACCGACAACGTGTCTCCAAAAAAGCCAAGTGGCTGTGGCACTCTTTTAATGCAGATCCCAGCTTTGCGCATTATTGTATATCCAAAGTGGAAATGGTTGGATGGTTACGAAGACGACGACGATGATGACGACCGGGCTAAGGGGGTCAACACTATAGTCTTCCTTGTCTAACAATCGTTGAATTGAATCGCAATTACGAAAGGACTTGTGTAGATACAATTCGTACAATTTTCTAGTTGTCGATTGCAAATACAATTGAATCCGAGCCCCATGCTGGTGATTTCAGTTACTCGTCGAGGCATTAACGTGTGATACACAATCAGCACAATCGTGTTTTACGGCTTTTTTCAATATTTTTTGTCGGGAGAGACACAACAATATTGCGTTGTGTAATTTTCAATTCCAAAAAAATGCAATTGTTTTAAATTGTAAAAAAGAAAAGTGTCGAAATAATTTCCAGAATTATTTATGGAAGTGTGAAATAAATTTTTAAAAATATATAAAATTTTAGCAATCCCTAAGAAGCATAGAAGTATATACCTACACAAATATATACTGTGTGTGTGTCTAGAATTTAGACATTGACAACAAACAAATAGGCCATACAACAAAATAAGTAAAAATCACATTGACATCTCAGTTTTTGAGAATTTTAAGGATATAAAAAATTAATTAGAAAACAACAAAAAAACAGCAAAAATGGTGGATACCGTCGAAGAATCAGCACAAAATGGTGTTTACAAGAAACGTCCCTTCATGTGTTCCTTATTAGATCCCAGTAAGTGTATTTTTTTACATACAGCATACAATATATTGAAATATACTCTCTTTTAACCTCTCTCTCTCTCTCGGTCTCTTGACTGCTACCTTACTCAAGCTAATACTTATTTCCTACCTTATCCCCCTCAAAATATACTTCCTGTAATTTGAGTCATTCCTGTTTTTTTGCCTCCTATTTTTCTTTTTGGGTGTTAGCAGCCGCCAGCCTTTTCATGTAAAAATTTTGTTGTAATTTTATGTGGGTGTATGTGTGTTTGCGGTAGTAGTCCTTCGATATCATTAAATTTATTGTAATTTTTTTGTAACACTTTCTTTTTTCTTTGCTTTTCTTTTATTTTATTTTTTGTGTTCTCTGTGTTTGTCGCTTGTTGCCCAAAATTTTTTGTTCCGTTTCTGTGCGCTTTCTACTTTTCTGCGTTTCTTTTTTTAAAAAAATAATCAATATCTAACTAATTTCAGACGCTTGGTTTAAGCCGGAGCGCTTACATCCACGAGGTAAGTGTATTAATGTCTTATTGGTGTTGTTGTTATTGACGTCCATGTCTAATGTACACGCCTATATGTCTACATACACACACGAACATGCATAAAATATTAGCAGATGACTAAACTTTTAGCCAAGATTGAGGCAACTCAATTAAGGTTTGTCTGTCTGTCTGGTGGTGTTCTCAATACTGTCCACCGCCCTACCCGCCAACCTACCTACCCCGCTTCACTGCTGCAACACTTTATCGAATTGTTTTTGCAATGCAATATCCTATTTTAGTTCAATGACGACTTAAGGTTTTCCTTTTTTAAAAATACTCCATTTTTTGCGGATAAAAATATTATCCACTTTATGTTTATAGGGATAAATATGTTATCCACATTATGTGGATAAAATAGTATCCAAGTTGTGTGGATAATTATTATATCCACGTTATGTGGATAATTATTATATCCACGTTATGTGGATAATTATTATATCCACGTTATGTGGATAATTATTATATCCACGTTATGTGGATAATTATTATATCCACGTTATGTGGATAAATATTATATCCACGTTATGTGGATAAATATTATATCCACGTTATGTGGATAAATATTATATCCACGTTATGTGGATAAATATTTTATCCACGTTATGTGGATAAAATATTATCCACGTCATGTGGATAAAAATAGTATCCAAGTAATGTGGATAAAATATACATGTTTTGTGGATAAAAGTATTATCCACGTTATGTGGATAAAAGTATTATCCACGTTATGTGGATAAAAATATTATCCACGTTATGCGGATAAAAATATCCACGTTATGTGTATAAAAATATTATCCACGTTACGTGGATAAAAATATTATCCACGTTACGTGGATAAAAATATCCACGTTATGTGGATAAAAATATTATCCACGTTATGCGGATAAAAATATCCACGTTATGTGTATAAAAATATTATCCATGTTACGTGGATAAAAATATTATCCATGTTACGTGGATAAAAATATCCACGTTATGTGGATAAAAATATTATCCACGTCATGTTGATATAATATTATCCACGGCATGTGGATAAAATATTATCCACGCTATGTGTACAAAATATTATCCACGTTATGTGGACAAAATATTATCCACGTTATGTGGATAAAATATTATCCACGTTATGTGGATAAAATATTATCCACGTTATGTGGATAAAAATATTATCTACGTAATGTGGATAAGAATTTTATACACGTCATGAGGATAAAATAGTATCCACGTCATGTAGATAAAATATTATCCACGCTATGTGTACAAAATATTATCCACGTTATGTGGATAAAATATTATCCACGTTATGTGGATAAAAATATTATCCTCGTTATGTGGAAAAATATTATATCCACGTTATGTGGATAAAAATATTATCCTCGTTATGTGGAAAAATATTATATCCACGTTATGTGGATAAAAATATTATCTACGTAATGTGGATAAGAATTTTATCCACATCATGAGGATAAAATAGTATCCACGTCATGTAGATAAAATATTATCCACGTTATGTAGATAAAATATTATCCACGTTATGTAGATAAAATATTATCCACGTCATGTAGATAAAACATTATCCACGTCATGTGGATAAAATATTATCCTTAAAATATTATCCACGCCATGTAGATAAAATATTATCCACGTGATGTGGATAAAATATTATCCATGTGATGTGGATAAAATATTATCCACGTTATGTGGATAAAATATTATCCAAATTATCCAAATTATGTGGAAATGAATATTTCCTCGTTTACACCCCTTCGTGCAAGGACATTGTATAAAATTGCAACTATTTTATTGTAACTTGCAATTATTATCCTTCATTTTGCATTTTAAATGGATATCTTCTCACACTGACATAGAAAACAGGTCGGCCAACCCTTTTATAATTCGTTTTATGACGACTATATGTGGGTGTAACACCCCTCTTTGCATATGAACGAACTATGATTTGTTTTATCATGCACATCCATACATTTCTTTTCGCAGAAATTTTTCTATGGATATTTTAAATATGTACATGCATTTATGCACCCACATATATCCATACATATGTATGTATGTGTAAATCAAAAACAAAAATCGATTGTTTACCCCCCCTCGTTAGTTAACAAATCTACTAAACCAACAGCCTGATTTACATGCAAAAAGAAATCAAAAAGGAAAAAATACACAGCAATTTAGAGAGCTTTTAAATTTGCACAAAAGAAAAAACTAATTAAATTTTTAAAACGTAATTAAGGTTTTCCATCATGACATGCAACCCAAAAACACCACACACTCTCTTCCCCTTATTCGTTGGCCATGTCTCTATTACTTGCCCGGGACGGGAGTCATGTGGAATTTGAACTTGTAAGGAGAGGAAAAAATGGCAGGTTTTCTTTAACATTCTCAAATTTCAATAGTTTTATTACTGGCTACCCGACTGGGTGTTGAGTTCGTTCATTTGGGTTGGCTTTCTTCTTTCGCTTGTGCTCTTTTATTTTTGCTTTTTGCAGTTTACATTTTCGCTTGGCTAACAATGTGAACAACCTTTTTGGTTGTTTTTGCTGTCGATGGTATTATTTTCCAAAATGACGTCATTTTTTTCCTGTCTTGGGATATTTAACATTATGCGGATGTTTTTTTTTTTCTTTTTTTTGGGTTGTTGTTATCCATAAATTATGTTTGGCTATCTGGTGTTTTGGGGGTTTAATTTTATTGCTGTATTTCTGTCACTTCCTTTTTTGTCTGTGTGTTCTTCGTTGGCTAACTTCCAATATGACGTGTTCCTGTAAACAATTTTCCCAGACATAGATTTAATTTATTTTGTCTGCCAACACCCAATGTTTAAGTTGCGCTCAGGTGAGATTAAATTTGTTGGGTTTGGGGTCTCTACGGACTTCGTAAATAAATTTATTAAAAAATATTGAATTAATTAAGGAATAGTATTAACGATTCTATATTTTCATTCATGGTTTACGAAAAGTTTTTGAGCTCTAAATTGCTTTTTGTAACATGCATGTCGAATGAAATGTTGAGTCAAGGTAGCTTTACTAGAAAAAATATCAGTGGGTCCGCCTTAGTATACGACCATTTATATGCATAAATATGTACGTATATACTTACCATGTGCGACTAAAAGGTTTATTTTATATTATTTTTAACATACAAAAACAGTAAATTTACTCCATAAATTATATTAATACTTTCAAAAAAAAAAAATCAAAATCATCTTCAAAAGAAGTCCAAAAAAAATTCTTAAAAATCCATACTTTTTTCTTTAAGAGTCCTGGTAAACATTTTCTTAAAAAAGTCCACTATTTTGTACCGAGGGGTGACCGATTTTTTTAACCTATAATTTTTTCCAATGTGTCCTTAAAAATAGGTTTTAAAGAAATTTTTAGAAAAAAGCTAAATATACAGGGTGAGAAAAAACTGCAACATAGTTAAACGCCATAATTTTTACATTTTTTTTTTTAATGTTATTGAATAAAAGTAAGAAATGTCGTAGATAGCATCAAATGTTAGAATAAGTTTAGATTTGTTCGAATTGGTCACCTTTGGCACGAATTATGGCCTTCAAACGGCCAATGAAACCATCACACGCTGCCCGAATGTTGCTCTGTGGAATTTTGGCCCATTCCCGACGAAGCGCTTGCTTGAGGTGATCGACACTTTGGTATTTTTTGTGCTAACCTTGCTTTCTAAAATACTCCAGACACAATAGTCCGGAGATTTTAGTGGCCATTGTACGCTGGAAATTAAGTGAGGAGCCTTATTTTATAAATTTTCTTTGGTGGCGCGTGCTGAGTGCGATTGTGCTGGAATGTCCAAGGTCTGCGGCCAAAATGTTTGCGTGCCCAAGGCTTTAATACACCCTCCAGAATATTTTCGCGATAATATTCGGCATTTATTCTGATGCCACGGTCGATTAATACGAGTGGATAGCGACCATCGGCTGTTATGTCAACCCACACCATCACCATAGCCGGCGCTTGAGTTCTGGTGGCCAACCGAAGGTGCACATGCACATCATCTGACCTATTTGGAAAGTAAACACGATCATTTTGTTTGTTTACAAACTGTTGGACAACGAATGTTTTCTCATCGGAGAAAACAAAATTCGGCAGTTCACCACTTTCGGCCAAGCGAAGCAACTCTTTAGCTGTTTTGAGTCTATTTTCTTTCGGTTGCGGTGTAAGTTCTTGCACTTTTTGGAATTTCAATGGCTTTACCCCGAGCTCATTTTTCAATATTTGCCGAATGGAATATTGCGATATGTTCAGCTCGTGAGCCATTTTTCGGCCATTGCGACCCGTGTTTCGATCAAGTCGTTTCTTTACTTTTCGAACCATGTCTGCTGATGTTGCTGTTTTCTTCCGTCCACTTCCTTGACGTCGGGCTACGCTACGAGCGATGGTACGAGACACAAAAGTTTTATTAACATTTAAATGCTGGAGTGCTCTAACGATAGCCACTTGTGGTTTTCCAGCCAAATATAAAGAAATCACACTATCACGCTTGAATTCTATCATGAATAACTTTTTTTCCGGAAAATTCTCACCAAAATTGCTTTTGTACGCTTGTATACAATATCTGGGCTGTGACTGGAATAATTTTAACTGCTGCCGGACGAGTGGTTTAGAAATGATAGCAGTCTGAAGTTCTACTTTTCCAGTAGGTCCTTAAAAGTCCAAAAATTTTTGATAAAAGTCAAAATTTGTTAAATTCAATTTTACAATTTGACCTGGATATATCTGTACACCTTGTCAATATTATACGGGTTTTATAATTTTTTAAACATTATTTTCAAATTCATGCTAGGTTTAATAAATATCCGATGTTCCAAGGATGGATCAAATCGGATACTTTTTTCTAAAATTGTAGTGGGTGCTAGCTCCGAATGTTCCGAAACGAATTTCGTCCACTTTGTGCAATTTCCCATTGATTTTGAAATAATCAACCAATGAAATAAAATCA